CCTCCACCGCTGGCTCTTCTTTCTCTATTCGTTCTTTCTCATCCCCCACTCGGAATAAAGTTCCGCGTTTTCTTCCAGACTACATCCCACAACAGAAACGCGCGTCCAAATAGAATACCCGACAGACTACCGCCAAGTAAATACGCGAATGAAGTATATTCAATTTGCAAATCCATGAATACCTGTCGCGTTCCAGACTTTCCAAAGTGGCAATGAAGAAATTATTACGGAAAGAAAAACTTTCCGTGCACGTCATAAATGTTCCCTGCCTGCAACTTGGTCATTCGCATCGCTTCTATTTTAACTCGAGGAAAAAGTATCGAAAAAGCTTCGTGCCTGTTACGCTGTGTACGAATGGAAGCACAACGTAAGCGTAAGTAGCCTCTCGTTAAATATTACTTTATCTCCGTATAACCCTTTATCTTCGACGTTACATTGACATTGCGATAACGAAATTTCCCATAAACTAAAAATATTCAGCATTCTGATGAAAACTACGAGTTATTTTAATTACAGTTATAAAACAATTTCCAAAATTCATTCGTGTTATTAAGACACATAACCTCACTTTTCGCAACGCTATGTGTGTACTTGACTGTCTTTAAATGCTTTTACCGGCGAACGTGTTTAGGAAATCTACATTATCCATCGTCTAATACGATATACACGTGCATAAAAATGATTGAAATTTCATTTTTTTTTAGGTGGAACCATGAAAAGGTGTAATCGACGAAGACCTTTTTAACCGCGGTAAATCCGCCACAAATTTCCAGTGAAACCCTTAATGTTTTGTCTAAATTGGACGTAATTATTTACGAGTGCCGCAATGCGTGGCCGGCTCGATTCTATACCGACTGAAATGTCGATGGTTTACCGGTAGATGTAGGTCACCGCAATAATTTCTGACATGTTTCGCATGTTGTGCCGATAATAACGTATTGTCCGATGCGAAATGGATCGGTTGGTAAACGACAAATCGACGCGCATAAACGTAATAGATTATTAGTGTCTAACGATTGTCAGCAACTCTATCATTCGCCACCAATATTATCGTAAATATACCAAAACCAGATCATCGATACGCTCTCGAAAATACCGAATTCATTCGGATGCAGAACACTGGAACTTGCATTTTACGATCCTTCTTCCATTGTGTGAAAATTCCAAAAGCTATGTAACCTCTTCGTTTTAATATTCATTAGCTTCGTAAGGTTTCGAACAATTTGTATCGCGGTATATCATTAAGCGACAATGAACGAGACAATTAAACGTTTATTTTATCAATCGGTTAAACGTTTCAAAATATTTGCAAGATTTAACCTCTAATGACATTATCGATGAAATTCGTACCAAATTCGGAGAGATTTCCTCGATTATTTTCCCCACGATATCGAAACCGTTAATTTTATCGACTACACCGATTACCTTTATTTACCCTTCTATAATTTTCTCGAAACGTCAATCGACTGGACTTTCCGTTTACGAACGGCATTCTAACCTAACCTAATTGTAAAATAACGCTGCGTAACATTTTATAAATAAACAAGAGACCGCGACATCTTTATTGTTATGCAAATGGTGTAGCACAAACGAACGTTCCTTTATACACGCGTGAGTTTCACGACAATTCGAACAAACAAATTTACATGAAATCGTTCGGTGGATGCGCGTAAGGTTATTACGCGTTGGCGAACGCATCGTCGTCGCGAAGTTCTCATGCGCCCGGCGTGTAATCTCGTTTTCTTTTCGTAAGATGCAGAAAGAGAGAAAGCAGTCGGGACGACGTTCGTTACAATCCCATTGTCCCCGGCTGTGTCGTCGTTTCACGGAAAAATAAATAGAGTCGGGGCCGCCGCAGGACGACCGGCCGTGCTGCACGAAGGACTCGCCTATTTGTCCCGAATGAAACGAAAACACACGCTAAGCAAAAAAGTTGCTCGTTATACCGGCTCCGTATCTTCTCATGCGATGTCTTAACGTCGCGCGACCGCTAACCAGACCGAACTTTCCGACAATAACAATTTTCTCATTACCATCGACCAACCAACCTCGCGTTCATTCTTCATCTTATAAATTAAAAATGAAATTGGGGTTAAAGTTGAACTTCGGTTCGAATGCAGCGTACATCACTGCTCGGGGTAATTCGTATTCAATCCGCGTAAAACTCGTTTCTTCGCAGAGAGACAAGTACTCGATAGTTCGAGGTATATTTCAAATAGATCGATTATTAGGGGACGCGTGAGAAAATTCGATCTAATTCGAACGGATAATTTTTTCTCAGTTACGCCTTTTATTTCCAATTGTCTCGAGATTTTGAACCTTCGGTTAGAGCAGTGATTCTGAGCATTTTGCACGCATTGACGGTTATACGACGGATCTTACAATTCTGACATCGCGTAACCGTATAATTTTAATTCACACCAAACACGCTGGACTAGAGCAATCCAGTGTTGTTATTCTACGTTAACCATAGTAATTCTTTCTTACAGATTCATCTTTTTTCACAAGGTTTCGACAATTATATATATCACGAATAACTTAAAGGTTCTCGGATCACCGGTCCAATTCAAGTTTGCCGAACATTTGAACTGTTTACTGTCATATTCGAATCACTTGGTTTGATTTCAACGTTAGAAGTACCGATTAGCGACGTGTACCTAAATATAATGCACGTAGATAATAATAATTGAAATGATACGATAAAAATAGATAAACGTATAAATAGACATTAACAGGGTTAATTTTATTACGGAAATCGTGTAAACGAAAAGTCTGAAACCAGTCGTGTTGACTAGTTTTATCAACGTTAAGGCACGTTTCATCCTTTCAAGCGACTCGACCGTCTCTAGCAACGTCATCTATGGACTAAAACCACGAGCACAACGCGGTATCGTATAATAGGAGGTTAATGTACATCAAATTGTACAAATATTTAGATATTTTGCATCGCGTGCCTTACGAAGCACGGGAAATAATTAAAGATCAATTGTACATTCGTGCAGAAATATTCACGAAAATTATACGCGTACATGCGAAAACAGCGTTAGGCGAATTATCTGTCGGGCGCGACATTTTTCGCGAGCATCTAACGGACAAGAGCGAAATGACATGTACGACCAATGATAGCGGGGAAAATCTGCCAGGCGAAATTCAGTTTGTGCATATTCCACGGTGCACGATAAAGAATCGTTGGGGAAATTGGCACCGCTATTGGACAATAACACTACGAACGCTACTTTACTGCAACACGTGCAGTTCGATGGAATCAAGTTCTTCGACCGATCTATGCGACGTATGTATCTATACTCGAGACGCTGTTCTACGCTCGCTCCCAATACCGACGGGGTAACGAGATACAAACAAAACGAGAGAGCACGTCGCCACCCATCGGACAACGAAAGAATTACGCGATCAAAATATTCCATGTTTCCGAGCCGAATACATACTACGCGGGTATAGCAAAATTAATCGCGGAAATTATAAAAACGCGAGGACCTAATTTGGTCGTTATTTCATTTTCGTTTTTTCCCACTGGAAAGAGGAAAAAAGAAAAACGGATATTCGCCCGTTCGCGGAAAACGCCGTGTTTGCCCGTAAAAATTTCATTCGGGGTTTTTTCACAAACAAGAGCGTTAATCCCCGCACGCTACCGGTATCCATTCAGGTTGTATTTCCGTTTTAAAAATTACAAAGCGGAGAAAAAATGTCGCGACATGGAATTTGGAAGCTGGTAAAAAGCGCGATAGAGAGAACGAATGGACGAGCATTTAATCGGCCGATATCGGGGAAATTTGATTTCCCGATCCGGAAGAATTGCACCTTCCACGCAAAGCCGCGTTTTATGGCGCTGTCATCGGTCGCAACGGAAAAGCAGACGCAAGGTAAACAATGCCAAGGCAATTTACGTGGCCACTGGAGGCGCTGACACACTATGACCACCGATTCGGTTCACAGGATCGCGGATTCGTGTAACGACGAACCAAAGGGGGAGACACGGTATACCGACACGACTGCGATGCGAGAAGGAAAAGACGAGAAGAACAGAGGAGAGGAGAGCAGAGGAGAGCAGAGGAGAGCAGAGGAGAGCAGAGGAGAGCAGAGGAGAGCAGAGGAGAGCAGAGGAGAGCAGAGGAGAGCAGAGGAGAGCAGAGGAGAGCAGAGGAGAGCAGAGGAGAGCAGAGGAGAGCAGAGGAGAGCAGAGGAGAGCAGAGGAGAGCAGAGGAGAGCAGAGGAGAGCAGAGGAGAGAAAGAGAAAAAGAAAAAATGAGAATCGACGCACGCCTTTTTCGTGCCGTCTCGATTTTCCTAGTCTTGAAGGGAAGAAAAAAAGATTGCTTCTCGTTGGACAGATGGTGCCGACAGAACGAACGTGGCGGACCGAGAGAATTTCGGAAGCCGGTTCGAACACGTTTCATCGATGCGTATCGCGACCTCGATCATTTGCGAGTATCAAAAGACGTCGACGGATACGTTCGAAATGACGTTCGTTTGGATCTTCGGTTGGACGAAAACGATATCAAAAGAACGTCGAGGGTCTACGAACGAATCCGTGACGAACCCTCTCGCTCGTTCATTTATAGACCGCAGAATGACAAGAGAGAAACGAACTGTCGCGTGAAACGACGCGCGTTTAGCCGTTCGACTAAAGCTGTCGATGTCACCGTGTATTCGGGCCACTGGAAACAATATTTTCGCTGGTCGAAAGAAGTCGCGCCAGAGCTCGTAGATAATATTTCCGTCAGCAGCGGCGAGCACAAAGCGATGCTTTTGCCGACGAAATATCACACTCCGTGGACGTGGTCGAAAAAACCGAACGACAGGGCACGTGGCCGGAATAAAAATCGCGAAGAGAGAGAGAGAGAGAGACCGGAGGAAAGAAAATTGGCGAGGATTGAATTTGGCAAGAGATCGCGTGTCCGGTGGTTGCGCATAATAGTTCAACTCTGCGTTACCTTGCTACGGTAATTAAGAGAAAGGTGAAAGAAAAGAGGAATATTTACATGATCGACGTGTGCTGCGGTCTGTCCGTGTCGCCGACATTGTTCGTGCCCCCTGTTAATCCCTGCACCTGTACGTTGGTCGCGATGCTAGTCCTTGCCGGGTGTCTCGCACTATCCTTCAGTATTTTGGTCGCGCTAAGCGGCGTGGCTGTCACGCACATTGTCTTGCGCGGTATCACGATCACCTTGGTAGCACGCACTTTGAAGGAGCGTCGTCGCGTGCAGAAAACAAGAAGCGTCGGTCACGATCGGTGAAGAGAACCGAGCAACGAATCGAACTCGCGCGAGAACGTGAATCGCGAAACAAAGCGAGAGAAGACGCGCCGAAGCATACGTGAAAACTTCGAAGAGACGATCTTCGAGAGAATTTATCCGAGGCCTAGCGCGTGGTGGTTCGTATGCACTGGTGCGAGGTATAGCGAGGATCGACTCGTAACGGGGGCGGGCGAACGTGCCGATTGCTTGGTGAGACGAAAACTATCGGCGTGGAGAAACCGTGCGGTGGCGTACGATTCGTTTGTTCGCGCGAGATAAGCCCCGCAGCAACGGGTGTAAATAAAAACTCGCGTTTCGTTCGTTCACAGGTCCCACCTCATAGCGCACCGCGGGCCTACTGAGTGACTGACTGACTGAGTGACTGCCGCGAGCTTCGAGCCACGAGCCACCCTGCGTGGGTGCACACGCGGTCTCGCTGCGTGGAGAGGCAACGAGCGCGCCCATTGGCTCGCTCCAGAGGCTGGTCCTCGTGGGGGGCGAGCGCCGGCCAATCACCGCTCGCGAGTCACCACCGTACCACCGAGCAAACTCTGCTCGAGGATTTTCCAGCACTCTATCGCGAGCCGTTTCGCGGTGCGTTTTGTCTTGCTGCTTCTGTAGTTCCGTTGTCTCTCGAATTTCTTACGAAACGTCTTTTCGTTCTTCGCGTCGCATCCTCCGTGTCTCGATCTTCGCTTTTTCCGTATCCGTGAACCGTCTCGGTGCCGTTCGAAGCTCGTAACCCAAGTTCCGAGTACCTTTCGACTTTATCGTGATTCTTCGAGTGTGCAAGTGTCGAAAGTTTTAATGGAATTGTTAGTCGCGCGATTCGAAGTGGAACAAGTGCTACGGATCCTTCGAAATGTGTCTCGGGAACGGAAATCTGTGACGGCGAAACCTCGTGTCGTTACGAAAAAGTGATGTGATGCTTAGGGAAGTGTAAATATTTTTTCTCGAACGTTCCGCGTCGAACGGATGACCGAGTCCCGTTCGAGCGTTTCGCAGATAGGACTTTGCGGACGTTTTCGAAACATTTTCCAGTGACACCCGAGAAACGTCCTTTCCGTACGATATATCACGTTTAACTCGGAACAGCTTTGTCGTTCCGTGTATCGTCTTACAGAGTAGTAGGATCACTGGCATCGTACGCGATATTTTCAAAACAAAGACTTACGAAAGGCCATGCTTGGAAAAAAGCATACACTCGGTAGAAGTGCAACTCGACTCGGACTCGGCGCTACTCTTCTATCCCGTATGTCGCGTGTCACTTGACGGAAATTAACGAGCCTCGATTACGCATCGTCGCAAAACCGGACGTTTGGAATCCGGTAAACACTACCGTTGCTACTATCCTACATTTTACGCTGAATTACGATACGAGTTATGCCGCAAGTTCAACCTATGCGTTATGCGTTACAACCGTTACATCAACCATTTCCACCGTGTAATAAACTATGCTTCCAAATTTATCGATCGTTCTTTCCTCCTTTCCGTTCGATTTATTTTTCGATAAATTAGACGGGGAAAAGGAAAATAACGAAACGTTGCCATTCAAAAGTGCCGAACACCTGCTATTTTCCGAACGCAATTTCAGTGGCAGGTAAAATGACCCGTAATGATTTTATTATCCGTTATCGTCACGAGTGTATAAAACAGAGTACCGCGATGTCGTAAAATTAATTATCCTGTATAAATAGCGAAATTAACGCGCGATAAAAAATTAATTGAAATTGAAAATCGATTATTTAAAAGTGGTCGAGTGGTCGATGAATTACGAGTCGAAGTGAGTTTCCCAAAGCGATCGAAGTAACCCGTGACTAAGCCAACAGTGACATCGAATCCCCGTATAAACGTCGTCGAATCGCATGTTCGACTCGAAGACGCTAACTCTCCCAGTAAACATTTCTCATAGCCATTAACGCTACTCCTTTGCGGTCGCGTGTGTAGACAGCAGTCCAAGCACTTTACTTTTTTCCTCTGCGAATAGTCACCCGAGTATTTTTACTATTCCAGATTCGCGTGTCTAAATTTTCTCTCGAGTGAATTCTCTTACATTTGTGTTAGAAATTCCTTAAATAAAAATTATTTATATAAAATATAAACGGGCACTATCTATTTGAACATCGTATCGTGAGAAAAATCGCGAAGTCGATAGACGAATGTGAACGACGATCGCTGAATCCAAAATTTTGTGCGAAAAATTAAAAATGATCGTCCTAATTAATAGTTCGAATACGGTGCAATAGGACAAATTTCGAATGCAACATCTGTAAAAAAAATTTCTAGAACGGTCATTTACGTTACGGCAGGTCGAATGCAGAACTTTCATTCAAAAATTTCAAAAAAGGAACGGTCGTTTAGATCACGATGAATGGCATGCGGAATTTTTATTCAAAATTGCAAAGCCGTCGTTTTGGATATAATTAGTAAAATGTGGTATTTTTATTTAAAAAATTTCAGGGAACAGTCGTTTTGGTTAAAATGATCATTTTGGCTATACCAAGTCGAATCTGGAATTCTATTCAAAAATGTCAAAAAGCGCTCGTTGAAATGGCAGATCGAATGCGGAACTTTTGTGGAAAAATTTGAAAAAGCGGTGGTCGAGTTACTATAGACGGAACGCGCGGAGCTTTTGTTTAAAAATTTCGAAAGGGCCATTGGGGCTGTGACAGGTGGAATGGAAAATTTTGATTGGAATGTTGGAAAACGGTGATTTGGGATATTTCTGGGCGAATTATGGAAATTGAAGGGTGTCGGTGAGAGAGGAAGAGGGTCGGTAGCGAGCGCGAGAGGAAGCCCTTGACGCGCGCGTTAGCCTGTGACTGGGTGCGAAGGTCGCGCGAGGCAGCACCGAGCAACGCGACGCAATTTTTAGGAGAAGCGCGGCAGGTACAGGGTCTCGCATCTGGGAAAGCGATTGGGTACCTGCGAGCGTGCCCGTCGAAATTTCCTCGCCGCTCGGTGTGGTCGGCTTCTCGCAGGGCGACCAGGTGCGCTTGGCCCTCAATGCCCTGGCCACGACTGCTGTACACCTAAGTGTTTTTCACGAGCCAGCAGTTTACAACGGCTCCTTTATGTCCTTTTATTAACTCGGAGATTCGACGCTACGTGACCGGCTCGGGTTTCCGAGGATTTGTATTTCGGCACGCCGAGGGATGGCGAGACTTGATCGGTTTTTCGACAGCTACGGAATTAACGAGATCATCGGTGTATCGGGGAAATCGTAGCCGGATACGGGCCGCCGGAAAACGAGTCCAGCCTGCTGGGGGGACTGGACGGCGGGGCCCCAGCGCTCCAGATATTCCAGTATTTCAAATTCAAATCGTGCCAAACTCGTTTCTTTTTTTATTCTTCCTTTTTTCTTTTGCTCTTTCCTTTTCGTCCAATCGAACCAACGACTCGAGTGTGTACGTAACGTGTAATCGTTCGATTTCCACGGGGTATAGACTCTGCGCGAATTTTCTCTCCAGAGGTAGAAAATCCTGTAAATCGAATTTGTTCGAAAGAGCGTATATTAGTTACAGGTATATGCACTCGCTCACGGCACATATTTTACGGAGGTACTCCAACTGAAAAATTTTTAATTTATCGAAAGTATGCGCGTACATAAAGCATAACGAGTTACGCTCCGATGAATTTCTTTCATTCGTGCGGGTGAAATCGTTACTCCAAGTTATAGTCCGATCTCTGTTAGTTAAATATAACTGTATAACGGCGTGAGATAGGGTAAAACTTTTTAAATTAAAAATGTTCAATTTTCAGTTCTGTGAAAAAAATTGCACCTGTGAGATGCCGTTTATGAATCAAAAAAGTCGTCGGAACTTTAATCGTTGATTTTGCCATCAACGTTTTCCTTTCAAAGTCATTTTCGCCGACAAAAGAAATTACTATGCGTGCAACTCCTCGTGTTTTAGGTACGCGCAGTCAGAATTTTAATTAAATTCGGAATTTTTGGATTAAAGAATTCTTTTGAAATATAGCGTTCGAACGTTTTCGCGAGCTCTCGTATATAAGCACATACGTTATACGTTGTTAAAAAGTTTCGATTTCTATTAACTTTGTTGATATAAAAGTGACAAATATTTTTCCTCTCCAACGAATTTTTTGATTTGCAAAAGTTAGTTTGAATGTCAATAGTCCGATTAAGTCGTTGGAAATGTACTTTCTGTATAATT